ACAATAATTAATATTCAATACCTACATTATGTACTATTGTACTCTTTGTCTCTTTCTAATATTTGTATTGTACAATTTATTTAATAGAATAAATATACGGCTATTTGCCTTGATTTTCTTTTAAAATAGTCTCTTATATTTAATCCAAGTCATTTTACAAATTTAATTTTCAACTATTTTAATATTAGTTTAAATTAAATATAACATTGACTTTTAAGGTTTAAACTTTAAATTTAATATAAAGTTTAAACTTGTTTAAAGTAAATTTTAAACTTTAAATTCAATATAAGTTTAAAGTTTAAACTTAAATTCAATTGAAACTTTAATTTACTTTAACGTTTAAAGTTTTGAATTGATTTTTTTTAATAATATAATATTCTTAATTAATAATATAATATTATATAATAATTAAAGTTAATAAAAAAAATTACGGTACACAATGATCCGGTAAGAACCGGTTTCGATTCGATCCAAACCGGTTCCTATCCGGTAACTAAGGGATCGGGATGAACCCTTGGGAATTTTCGGTAAAACCGATTCCTGTAAGACCCGGTTTCGATAAATAAATCCAGTAACGAAGACCGATTCCGGTAAAATCAGTCTTGTTGATCCGGTCCTGTCCAATTGCCAGCCTTACTGTAAACATCCATGTTTTATGAAGAAGTTATAGATTAACTTACCCAAGTCCTGGCGGGGTTCTGGCAGCCCTGCTAGTGGGGGAGGGGGGAGCAAACCTTCTTTGTGTGTGTGTCAGGAGAACAATACTGGAAACTAAAAAGGTAAGGAACTAGACTAGAAAAACTAGGAGATCCAAGTTAGCATATTGTGTCTTTTGGTATGGGAGAAATCACTAGTTAAGAACAAAAGGGAGAAATGGTGTGTAACAACCAATAGACAAGTAAGTAAAATCATTCAGTTGTTCATATTAAGTATCTATACTTGTTCATTATAAAATCGATAATACCATTGTACATACATATACTGTAAACATCCATGTTTTATGAAGAAGATTAACTTACCCAGGTCCTGGCGGCCCTACTGGCAGTTGTGGCGGCCCTGCTAGGTGGTCCATTATACATCTCAAAGGGATATGCCATTCTTCCCAAATCCAACAAATTAAAAAGCTAGTGTCTATTTTGTATTTATATATGGCACCCCTTAGGGCAGCATTCTAATTTTCACACAACATTTTTATTTGTCTTTTATCTCTTTTTAAAAAAAAATTGTTTCCTATTTTTAAATTGATATTTTTTAAAAACTAAAAGTATTTAAGTATCTTACCCAATTTATCACCTCTTCTTAAAAGAATTCCTTAAATTATTATACATTTAACTAAATGGAAGATGAAAAAACAAAAAAACTTTTCATTTCTTATAACTGCTTATAGATTGTGCCTATAAATTAAAAAAGATTTGAGCATCCATAACCAATAATGGACTCCATGATTTCACTTCTTCTTTCGTTTCTTCTACTTCTTCACATTTATCAGTTTATACAAAAATAAAAAATTAAAAAAAAATTATGTGTACACTTTTGTTAGAAGTGAATGTCAACATTTGATACTACATATCTGTTGGCATACATAATTCTATTCCATCCAAAAAGAAAGAGGAAGAAGAGAAAGATTGAATATATTGGTGTAAGAAGAAAGGTTATACAACAAATGATTCTTCTCAAAATAAAAGACTTTTTGAAAGAATGTTACACTATAATTCCTCCTACATGTTGAGAAAAAAATTATTTGATTGAGAAATTTATAAGAAGGGTGATTAGTGTTAAAATGTCAAAGAAGAATTATTTAGAAGAATTATCTATTTATGGAATTCAAATTAAATTAGGAGAAGAATAAGAAAGAATTATTTAGAAAAAAAGTCGGTCTATTTATGGAATTCATATCAAATTAGAAGGAGAATAAAAAAAAAAATTTATAATTTGAAAAGGAGCCAAAAATAGTGTTGACATTATTTATTTTAACTTATTTATTCTACTAATTTCGGTTTTTTTTATCACAAATACTTTCCTCATTTATTTTTTATTTATGTGTCTTTAATTAAAATTTATATCCTTATAAATTATTTTCCCTTCATATTAGACCCATTATCATATCCTTGTCCTCTTAAATTATCAATATCAAGTCCAATACATTTTATTTCATCTAAAATAACTTCAAAAAGACCTTTTCCACTTGTATCATCCACTTTTAAGAATTCTAAGAAATATTCGGTTACATTTATTGGAGTTGTCGAAATATCTACACTCCGTATTATAAAAGACATTTGGTCTTGATGACTTGTATCTGGCGTGCAATCAAGTATGATAGAGAAATACTTTGTTTTTATAACTTTTTCAATAATCTTGTTCTTAATTTCACTTGCCAATAAATTTATTAATTCATTTTGTATATTATGTCCAAGATAATGATTATGAATTTCATCATGTTTGATTCGTCGAATATGTTCTTGCATAATTGGATCAAATTCTGCAATCATTTCAATAAGACTCAAGAAATTTCCGTTATTTTCTTGATAGATTTTTTCATTTTCCCCCCTAAACGCCAAATTATTTTTTCCAAGAGTTTTTATGACAGGAATAATTCTTGACACTACATTTTTCCAATGTTCTCTATCTCTATTAATTTGGTCTTGAATGTTTTTATCGATTGTTTTATTATTACGCAATTTAAATTCTAAATCAATCCATGAACTCATATTAATAATATGTTGGCTAGTTGTTTCATGGGTTCTAAGCTTAGTAGTAAGATTTTTCCAATCTCTACTATCTTCATTAGCTAACTTATTAATCTTTGCATTAAAGGTCGTATTAAATAACTTACAACAAAAACAAAATACCTTATTCAAATCTTTGGAATAAACTAGCCATCTTCTTTCATGTCTTTCTCCATTTGCCAACTTTTGAAAATAATATGTAGTAGAAAAGTGCCTTAAAAATTTATCCGTTGGAAAACATGTGTCGGTAATTCTAATTGGTCTCTTAACTTTGTATCAACAATATTCCATTGACTAGGATCATAGATATTTTTAGGAGTATGATTATTTAATTCATTTATAAGTTCTTGATTTTCTTGGGAATCTACATCCGACTTTTCACTAATTTCCTCTCCTTCTTCTTCATTTTGGTTTATATCATTATCTAACTCAACTTCAACTAAGTTAGTAACTTGTTCTTGAGCATTCCCCTACTTTTTTTGATTTAATTTTAACATTATTTTCCAAAAATTTATCTAGAGCACCTTTTTGAGATTTTATCAAATTATCGACTTTTCTTTTTCTTTTAAGTTTTGAATGACCGGATTCATATTTTCTAGTTGACATATTAAAATCTAACAAATATTTTAAACACTATTTTACAATATCAAATAAAAAATATAATAAACATAAGACACAAAACAAAAATAATATTAGAAATTAGAATGATATTACCGAATTCAAAAGCTATGAAGACTTGATTTCCGAAAAATGAATCGGGCTTGCTGCAATATAGTTTTCTCCAAATTTAAAATATAAACTATCAACAGAACAAATAAATTTTTAAGCTTTGAATAAGAGAGAGATGTAAGATTAGAAAAGAGAAAGTGAGAAGAAATAGAAGGGAGGAGGATAGAATATATAAAAATAAAATTAGAAAAAAAAATAAGGTAAAAAAAAGAAGATAACTTATACATTTTTAAAAAAAGTACACAACTTTTTATTGGAAAGTTAAAAAGTTATAGTCATATCTATCAGACTATCACTTCATTAAGCCATTTGCATTTATTGTCTTAATTCTAATAATTTTTATTTTTTTAAAATTTAATCCTTCCTAATAAACTAAAAAATGGGACCTTTGCATTTATTGTCTTAGTTCTAATATTTTTTAAAAAAATTTAATCCTACCTAATTAACTAAAAAATGGGGGACCCTAAAATTGAGGGCCTAAGGCGAAGGACTCTTTTTTAAGCCTAACCAGCCGCCCCCGACTGTTTCAAGGTAATAAAATGAACTTCTTGAAATGAAGATACCAACGACAATAACAAGTCCAAAAGAATTAGACTATCTATACATGGGAATCAGGTGTATGCCAGGATTGTATAAACCCAGAATTATTGATTAAAAAGATAAACCCAGAATTATTTTGTCCATATACATGAGATTTACACTGAAATTAACAGAAAAGAGAGAGAGATAAAAAGATACCGTATCACGTGGAGTGTCATGACTATACACTGACTGGTGCATTATGAGACAATCAATAATGCTTGACTTGCAAATTTTGCATCGTGTACAAATTAGACTAGTTTGGCTTGTGTCCAAGTCTTTTCAGTTCCTCATAATTGTCTTCCCGACCCCACCCTTCTATCATAGACCTGTAAGTTTGTGTTTGTGCAGTCGATTTGATTTAAAAGGTTTTTTTTTTTTACGAGACACGCTAATTTTATCTATCAAAACTTAAATAAATTAAAAGAAATTAATTAGCAATTTACCTTCATTTGGTTATGAGAATATTTCACTTTTTTTGAAAATGAGGGCTTGATCATGAAAATCTCAAATACAACTTGAAGTTGTATTTAAAAATTATAAAGCACCCTAGCCCTTATTATCACTTTCACTATATTATTCTTTTTTCAATTTTACCCTAATTATATAAATAAAGAACCTTATATGAATTATATTTCACTTACTTTTTAGAAAAAATACCTTCAAACAACTAAATATTATTTTGAAAAAACATAACCAAACACAATTTCAACTTCGAAAAAAGTTCAAATAAAGTGAAACGTAGATAATTTTCTTAAAGAATACATTAAAATTCTAAATAATTTTTGCAAAAAGATTCCATACAAGTGGGCCAGTTTTGAAAAAAAAGGTGATAATATCAGTATGTTATATAATTAAAACAAAGTTAAGATAATAACAATTAAGGATAGCAATAACACTAATCATTATCATTATGATAGAATAAGCAGGCAGCACAAAAGAAAGAAAGAAAAAAAGAGACAAAAGTTGGATGTCTAAGCTTAAAAGATTTAGAACAGGTCCACAGTTGATATGGTATTTAGTCAAATACATTCTTCTCTACAAAGCTCCATCATCACAACACTATTAGTCTTTTTTCAAAACACTAGCATTAACGGTGTTTAGACAGTACACTTTTACTGTTCTGCATCGTATTCATCTCTTTTTCGTTTCACCCCTCCCATTCCCATCGCATTCAAAGTGTCTATAACATCCTTCATCGAGGGCCTCTTGTCTGGATCAAAATTCGTGCAGAGGAATACCAGAAGTGTGATAGCTAATGCAGTTGGATAATCAACTTCTGTGAAGCATTCATGAACCAAATATTTTTTACCACGCTTAACCGCAGTTGCAATTGATGTTTGCACACAACAACACACATGAGCGAAACTAAACTTCCTTTTGGCCATCAGCTCCAGCAGTAGAATACCAAAATAATAAACATCAGATTTCATGGTCCTGGTCCTCTCACCTGTGTATAAGAAAAGATAAGAACACAACTGTATAAGAAGGAGAAATAATATGCCATATAAAACAGCAAATATGATGAAAATTATCCACAAGGCTAAACCTATGAGTCCTAATTTTTAATTCAGACAACTTTTCACTAGATTTTTTTTGTTAAAGCCAAAAACATAAAAATACGAGGGTCATGGCTTTTGACACCCAATTTTAGCCCTCCACGATTTGATTAATTTTTGAGCTTCTTAAATTTTAAACAATTGGAAATAATTGTTTTTTGAAAAAATCCAAAAATGTTTTCAGGCTTGATTCTGTTTTTGTTTTTAGAAGCAATTATATATTTCTATATTTATATACATATAAGTTTTGTGTACGACTTTGGGGTTTTATAAATATCTTAAAATTTGTCTCAAAAAAAAAAAAATGTTTTAACTTAATACTTATCTTATTTTTTCTTAAACTAATCAAAAATTTTATTAGTGTTGCAATTAGTCTTATTTTCAATAATTAGTTAATTATTTCACTAAAGGGGGTTTCCTCTCTCCTAGGAAGTAGGAGAGAGAGGTTCTTGGGAGTTGTGCCTGAGAGAGAACTTTTTACCAGTTATGCTTTTCTAACTTGGTTTATATGGGGACACACGCTAGTCCTTATCCAAAGATGTTGTTATGAAGGATTTCCGACACCAAGGACCCAATCCAACAAGCTTACTCCTATCCTCTATTTACTACTCCTTAAACGCGGGAAATAGCTAAAATAGAGGAGATCTCTTGGAGGCAAAAGTCCAGATGTTTATGGCTCATAGAAGATAGAAGGGGACAGGAATACCAAATTCTTTTGGAGAGTAGCAAACTTTCAAAGGAGTAACCACGTTGATAAGCTATTGATTGGAGAAGAAGTCTAAGAAACCAAAGATAGCATCAAAGCTGAAATTCTAATATTTTACCAAGCTTTCTACACAGAAAAAGAGAAATAGAGGCCTGAGACACGATTTGAAAGTCTAAACTTCTCATCACAAACAACAGAGGAGGCAACATCTGAAAAAATTTAATCATAGCATGAAAAGAAGAGAGATATTGAGGTTCAAACAAACATGCCTTTTAGAATCTCTGGAGCTCTAGCACCATCAAGAAAGCTATCATCCACATTGAAAGTATTTGTTACGAACCCAAAGTCAAATACTTTAATGTTAAATTCCTGCAAGCGAAAAAAAGTTATTTCCAGCAAGCAAGATCAATGTAATAAGATGTAAAAACGTATTTCAAAAAGCGTGCTAAGACAATCTTGTGAGATATCTAAAGGAAATAGATGACCATCAAGTGTTCAAACTCACCTTATCTATCTTAATGTTTGCAGGAATAAGACGGTCAAGTGCAATATTGTTCTCATGCAAACATGAGTAGAGATCAGCAAGTTGAGTTGCGACCTTCATCCGCTCAACCCACCCAAAGTCATCTACAAATGATAGAGAAAACAAAAGCAATGTGCACACTGATGAATAATCATTCAACATAATACTCGAGATAGTAATATAAGTACCAGAGAGAAGCACATCCGACAAAACTAGTCCAGTGAATTCTTCATCAAAGACAAGTGCAAGCCTCGTATCACAACAGTACCTATACAACTTGACCAAATTTGGATGCATATTTACTCTTTCATCGGTGAATAACTCGATCTCATCCTACAACAAAAGAAAGAAGCTTAATTTGACATCATTCAACGAACCAACAAAAATCAAAATACTATCTAGCAAACATACATACACAAAATGTAGTTAGACATTGAAGAGCATCTCTCATAGGAAGGTGAAAATCCCATGTCTTTACAATAACCGATCGTTTTTCAGATCCTTCAACAATGGTTCCCTGGAACAGTCTTCCTGAAATAGTCTTTTGAATTACTTCAGGATTCTTGAAATTAGTAATCCCGTCCAAATCGGAGTAGCTGCAATGCTTCACCTTACCAACTATCGTTGGCTCAATTGAGAAGTCGAAGCTACAATTTGGCAACCATTCAATCCCAATTATTATTATAAAACCTAGAAAATAAAATTGCATGACAAGGCAAGTTATTCAAACCTTTCGAATCGCTTGCATGCCCTGTAAAAAGATTGTAGCGATTGGCGAGCTATGTAATCGATGAACATAGGGTTACGCCAATTGATAGGCTCCTCCTTGTTGAAAAGTTGGTACAGATAAGGAAAAAAGCTCCAGTCCATCAATTTCTTCCTAAGGATCTCAATGTCCTTCTTCTGCTTATCAATACTCATCTCGACGTCTGTCGTGGTCGTCATCGTCGTCGTTTTCTAGGGCACAGAAACACATAGTAGAAGAACCAAAACCAACGATAAGAGAAGAGGCGTTCTGGTGGTTAAAATGGAATGGAACTTTTTATCTGCCCAGAGTCCGGATTATTTGGAGCGTGGATTCCATGTATACTACACATGTATCATATATATCAAATTTTTCATATTTAATAAAGGCTTAAGTACCTCTCGAACACTTTTACCTATTCAAAATTGTTTCTATTAGGTTTTTTTTGATAATCAGCAAAAAATATGAAGAATGTGTGATACACTTGCGGTGACGTGACAAAACGGCTAATTAAAAATAACATGTAGCACTGAGCCCCGAAAATTATTAAAAAAAAAAAATTGTTTAAAATTATTTCAAACACATTTTATATCTATATTTTTTTTAAAGAAAAAGAAAAAAATGAAAATGTCAACCTATTCTACCCAACCCTCTTTCATCTTCATCTTTTTCCCAAAACGTAATTCTTTTCAAATAACTTGAAGATTAACTTTTTTTTAAATATATATATATATATATAAAATAAAAAATAAAAATAAAAATATATATATATACATTTTCATACTAAGAGTGAAGAAGAAAGAAAATTTTGCCGGCAGCTATTCATTTCTACATCGATGACAAAATGAAATTGATAGCTCAAAAATTAATTCTTTCAAATTTTTGAATATCATTTTTGATAAATTTAATGGGTTTATATATGAATTTGAGTAAAAAGCTTTGTTCGAAAATTGTGATAAACAAATATCGGCTAACTTTTTTTATACGTAAAAATCATTTATCTTCTTTCTTCTTCTTCATATTTGTTCCTTATTTTTATGAGATTTGAAATAAATCATATTTCAAATCTGAATCTTCATAGTTGATTTTCATTTATCTTCATATTTGGAAGAAATAATATTCTTTTTTTTTTATGAAAAAGAAAGAAAAACAATGTTGGAGCTAAAATGAAGAAAGTTTTGCTAACTAAATTATGAAGAAGATGATAGGTAGGGGGTGGAGTGCTTTTCTTTTTTGAAGAAAAAGTGTAAATGAAAGAAGAAGAAATATTTTTAAGTTAATTATAATGCCAAGTGTCAATAAAAGAAGAAAAAAGTGTAAAAAAATTCAAAAAAGACACTATTTTGAATCTTTTCACGTGCTTCAGGGAAGTGCAAAACTCATTTTTTGTCATATATGCATTTTGTATTAATAGGTATATGTTTTGAACAAGGGAAAAGGGTCTGATATACCCCTCAACTTTGCTATTTGGAGCTGATATGCCCCTCGTTATGAAAGTGGCTCATATATACCCTTACCGTTATACAAACGGCTCACATATACCCCTACCATTACAAAATGAGCTCACATATACCCTTCATTTAACGGAAGTGAAAAAATTAATTTTAAACTTATATTTTTGACTTATAATTTTTTTTTAAAAATCATTTAGGGGTATATAGGATTCTTCTAGCAAAGTTCAAGGTATATTTCAATATTTTTCATACATAAATTATTTTTTGACTTCTTTGATTTTCATTATTTGAGTTTCTTATTCTTATTTTATTTTTTTCTTTCATTCCTTAGTGTAAAGAAAAAATTTAAAACTATTTTTTTTTGTGGGTATATTTTAATTTAAAACAGTTTTTTTTTGTCTATATTGTAATTTAATTTTTGTATTTGAAGAAAAAAATTGGTCATATAATAAGTTTTACAAGAATATTAGTGAAACATAAATAA